GGTGAGTTGACCTGCGGTGAGTTGGCCCATGGTGAGTTGGCCCACAGCGAGTTGGCCCACGGTGAGTTGACCTGCGGTGAGTTGGCCCATGGCGAGTTGGCCCACAGCAAGTTGTCCCAGAGCAAATTGGCCTGCAGCGAGTCATCCCGCAGAGAGTTTGCTGTGGCAAGTTGGCCCTGGTGAGTTGTCATAGATCCCATAGGGAAAGTAAATGTATCACACATGCTCACTACCAGTTATCCCAGGAAGATATAAAAGATATTCCAATGAACCAGAAAAACTGTGATGAGAAAGATCCAAGATTATGAAGAGCTGCTGCCAGCCAATACTGTATGTAAAATACTGGTCTGAATGGGTAACAATGTAACTAATGTAAACTAGCTTCCTCTGTCCAATTCTAATATAGAAACATACACATACAAATAGAAAGTTTTGAATAAAACTGGTCAGCCTAGATCTTTGGTTCAACTTTAGCCTGCCTATTGTCAAGGTATCAGAATGGCTGCTTTCTATAGTTGGGGACCCTCTGCTGCTGGGGTCAGAGTCTTCTTGAAGCAAAATATGAGCGAGAGGAGACTAGAAAATCGGACTTGATAGCTAAATTCTTAATCCAACTGAACAAGATAAGCCAAAAGGAGAATATACTCAAAATATCATAGAAAGACATAAACCCAGAATTGGGGCATTCATGGCTCTCTTGATCAGTGTTATTGGCTACCCATTGAAGATCATTCCTTATTTCAGGATCCATACTAAGAATTCCTTTACTCTGCTGACATTTCTCTTTGCCGTTCTTGCCTTTTTCTTCATCAATCACTTACTAAAGTCTACATATTCTCCAGTCTAATACCAAAACTAACCCACTGAATTCTTCTGCAGTAGGAGGAATAAGCATCCATAGAAGTTAGGACACAAGTCAAGGCATCATCCATCTACGTCTATCAGATGATGAATTTGACATTCCTGTTATTTTCTGGTCTTTAAGTTGGTGCTGACTCCTGAGCGCACAGACTGCCAAAATTTATATCATGCAATCCTTCCAAGAATTCAAGGCACCTTCCCCAGTACACATTTTATTCCCCCAGTAATGTTTAAGGGCAAGGGTTAGGCTCAGGTAGTATTCTCAAAACTTGATGTCCTTCAGATGTGTAAGCTAATTCCCAGAATTTTCAGCAACAGTCAGGCTGGCTGGAGAATTCTTGAAGTTGAATTTCACACCTCCGACTGCAACTTCCAGCCTTCCCAGTTACATTATGTTCTGAACTTGTTCAGAATGACAAATTGTAATAGGGAACAAGACACATTGGCTCGTCTAGAATAAGTACAAATTACTGTGATCTGTAATCATGGTGTTTTATTGCTATATGATTTCACACAGAGTGAAACTAGTCAGGGTGTGTTCTGTGACTGTAAAAGAAAAGTAACATTTCCGAATGGCAGTTGCAAGGGAACTTCAAATTAAATTGGAATTTTTGAGCTTAAACTCTGTCATGAATTGTCTACCATAATGAAAATCTTCTCTTCCAGATAGGCAGCTTTGTTCATTAGCATGAAATAGGACAATTGTACCTTGAATTCCTGCACAGGGATAGGGTACAACCTGAGATTTAATAAGCTGTAATCAAGAAACATTTTTAAAGTCTTGCTACTCACAGCAAGTTTTGTGACTTTAATAAAATGGCAACAAATACAGTAGCTGCATGGTCATGAAGGTCTCAGGCTTTTCCATAAGGATATATACAACTGCATAGAATAAGGATGCGCAAGGATTGCTTAACCCAGGAATCCTCAAACTCTTCAGCTCATAAACTCCTTCATGAAGTTTCAGATTGTTCACTGACCATTTATTTTAGGAAAATAATAAGCATTATTTTAACTAATAGTACTAAGAATAACAATAACATTGAAGAATTCCATCAGCCTTTGGGAGTCAATATTGATCACTTTGGAGTACCCTGGCCTAGCCTATTTCAAATGCTCCTCAGATCTGGACATAGCCTGATTTGTCTACTGCAGGTCTAAGGACTTGTTTGTCTCAACACATCTCCATTTCCTGAGTTGAAAATATCTAGTGCAAGGCTCTTCAAACTTGGCAAGTTTAAGACTTGTGGACTTCAACTCCCAGAATTCCTGAGCTAACATGACTAGAGGAGAAATTCTGAGAGTTGAAGTCCACAAGTCTTAAAGCTGTCAAGTTTGGAGACCCCTGATCTAGCATGAGAAAAAATAATAAACACTTAATGGTGCCTCTTTTTAATCAATGAGATGTTATTTAAAAGTACATTAGACTAAAATTATAACAACCTATGCAAAATTAGAAGAAATAGATACAGAGGATTTTTAGATATGTGCTATTTTATTTTTTTCCT